TGCAGATTTGAGCCAAAAATCCATAAAAAGTATTTTTTCTCTCTAAGTAAACGATCAAAACTTTTTGTTTATGAAAATAACTAATATATCCTAAAAAATTAAGAAAAATAGAGAAAATTCGGATTAGCCAATATCCAGTTAAGTTTAATTATTTATGTAAATTTGGTAATATTATGCTATAGACCCGATATAGTAATAGCGAGCGCAGCGAGCGTCGCGAAGCAACGCTCGTCACTGCGAGAGCTTAAAGCAACCCCTGGGCGAAGAGAAAATTCGGACTACTGCACATTCATTCGACAGAATGTTTTTCCGCAGTAATTTAGACCCACAATGCATCACTTGTTTTAGCTACGTTCTCGCGAGAATAACGGCAAATGTTCAACAAAAGATGTACTCGCCTTGATTGAATGGATACATATTGAAAATAAATAGTAAACGAAACGTTCTTCACTAACTTTCAGCACTGTTCAGATTTTTTTTTCTTTGGAAATGCAACTTACATACGACGTCATGTGACGTCAGAGTCTAGACGCACCAATTGTCACGTGCGGTTTGACGAGCCCGATCTAAATCAAAACAATAGAAGAGTTTGCGCTCGCTCTAACGGTCGCACCGTCAACATATTATGTTTTTATGCAAAAAGAACAATCTTTAAACTTTTGAAATAGAAGTAGGTATCACATGATTGGCAACAGTATTTTTTTATTCTTAATGTCAAGGAAAAAGATAATGACCTTGACCTAACCTTGTCTCTAATATAAAACGGTCAAATTTAATTTCACGGATACTATCACTTACTGATATTGTCTTCTTGATTCTGTGAAAATTTCATAAATTTTTAAATATTAGAAATATGAAAAGAACCCTACCTTAAGATATCGTATCAAGAGTAAACTGAGAGAAAAGAATCTTCGTAAATGTGGCAAGTTAAGAGAGATGAAAAATTGGCTATGAACCTATAATAGCGAGCGTAGCGAGGCGGTGCGAAGCGAGCGTAGCGAGCTCACTAGACTAACGTGTTGGAAAGGAGGAAATTCGGGTTGAAATCTGCACATTGTTCCAAGAAATTTTATCTCAACGCGTGAAAAAATTCCAAACTCCCAATAATCCTTTGCGGTGCATAGCAACATGGTGGCTAAAACATAGCAACAACTTACTTGAAAAAAAAAGACAAACAACGATTTAATGCAATCTCCATGCCACAAGATTATCGTTTGCGTTCTAAGTCAACAGGACTTTTTATTTGACGTCATTTAAACGGCTCGGGTTCCGATTTTGTCGGAAACTTCCGAAAATTTCGGAATCTCGATCCCGATGCCTGGGAAGTGACTTCTTTTTTTTTTTTTTACTGAACTGAGGATAGGCAGTGCAAGTAAAAGCTGTGTAAAGGTTTTTGATAGTAAATAACTGCACTCGCCCCAACGGTCGCACCGTAGAACATATTTTAAAAAAAGTTATGCCTAGTGCATAGTCTTTCTACAGAGAAATTGATTTTAATCTAAATCTCCGATTCTTCCTCCCGAAATGGAGATCGTCGTCGTCATTGCTAGAATATTCCTGGTCACTAAAAGGTTTTTTAATCTGCATTTCGTTTTGATAAAAATCAAACACTGAGTTAACCTCAATTCGTATCATCAAGCAAGTCGTACCTATATTTTTTAACTTGTTGTACGCAGTACTTTCGTGGTGATTGCTAATGCGTAATTGTACGTTCTATTTTAATTTTCAATGCGTATTTTGTAAACTAGGGATTACAATATTATATAAAAAAACTCACAAGTGATAACAAGGATGAAATAAGACCTTAAAAACGATAACAAGGATTACATGATTACTTAGTAATACTGTGATTACAGAGATTATATAATAATTCTTCAGTGTTTACAAGGATTAAAGGTGCATGGATACAGATTAGAAGTTAATATTTTCTGTAAAGTATTTCAAATAGGACCTGATATATTTTAATAGCATTTCACACAAAAAATATACTAAAAATCTTATTTCATCTAACAGTTATTAAAAATTCAAATTTTTAGACGAGTTTGATTGACACATTGTTGAATTAAAAAAATAAATGAAAAATAATAAAACTGTTATCTAGAAAAATCAGAGTAGAAATGTCCGAAAGCAAAATATATACACAGTATATTGTCAGTCCGTGCAGTTATGGTGAGCAGACTTTAACAATTGAACGCACCCAGTGAATCGTAAATATCAACAATAACAGAGTTCGAGCCCTGTTTTCAAAAAATGTACATTTCACGGGTATGATCAATTTGCTAAACTCTGTAAACAACACTTAGAGCGGAATGACGATACTTGTAAAGGGGTTTTGCTTTCTAACATTTCTACTCTGAATATAATCATTTTTCTGGTTAAAAGTTTTAATATTTTTCATTAATACACAACAAGTTTGCAACTTTTCCTAAGTATTGAGAATAAAAGTAAAATTGTGAGAGTACAAGGATTTGTCAATCAAACCCATCCAAAAATTTGAAGTTTCAATAACTTTAAGATGAAATAAAATTTTAAATATTTTTTTGTGTGACATGCTATTAAAATATATCAGTAAAAAACGATTACACTATAACCTTAATATTCTAAAGAATGTATCATTAGATGTGTATTAGTTTCTCTAAAGCTAAATAGAATTACATTGCTACAAATTTGAAAATAATTGTTATATATTTCTTTAATTTAACAAAACAGTTGTTATTCTGCATGAAAAATGCATTTAAAAAAAAAATAAATGCAAACTCCACATAAAAAAAAAAATTGAAACTGAGTATTGAGTGTACATAAGTAGCTCAATTTTGATCCAAATTAGTTCTGTTCAAGTCAGAAATTAAAAAGGCTGTCATAGGTGAAAATGAATACAGGAATTAACTTACAGATATAAATTTCTAGTGCATTTTTCCCGCGCCTATTGATAAACCAATAAATTTATGTCGAAATAAAGTACATTTACTATTTGAAATTTAATCTCGGACAAACACATTGGCAATGTAAATATTTACTTACCTTTGACACTTGTGGAGTAGCTACATATGTACCCTCGCTTCTAATAGTGCTAAGAGAGTGGCTGTATCTTTTGAAAGCTGTACATATATAAATGAAAAAGTTTGTGTACTGGAAATTTAAAAAGAAAATCTAATGCTCACAACATTATCTCACTTGCATGATAATAATTTGCTTAGTGCATTTCAAGTAATTATAAAACAATTATATAGTGTACATGTAATCCTATGTAAACTTTGAAAATACACACAGTGTAAATGGTTCTGAGGGATTATAGATTTAAGATAAATGATGAATTATCAATTTTATCGATAATTACAATAATTAATTATTATTCAAATTTTGAATCTTCACTGTTTAAAATTTGTACAAGAATCTTGTACAACGAGCGTTGACAGAGGTGTAGTGAGCGTAGCGGAAGACAACTCTGGATAGAGAATGGTTTCCACAAATGTTTACTAATACAGACTATATTTTAATAAAACTTTGTGGGAAGACAATTAGACTAGTAATTCATGCATTTAGGGTAATTTATGGTGTCTTTTAGATACGAAGTTTTTAACTTTCAACAAAAATGTCAATGAAATGATTTATTTAAGTGTCAAACTTTACCACCTTTTCAAGTTGATCTTCATTTTGTCCTTTTTGAGAGATTTTATTTAATAAAATAAATGCAACATTAAAACCTTCTCATTTATCTACTCTGTTGGCTCTTAAAATGTTTCCGACTTATATATTTTATAGATATACTAAGTAATAATTTGAACTTTATCACAATAAATAAGACGTCAAAATTTAATCTTATGTAAAAAAGACAAAAAACAATGAAAATACTAATACCCATATTAATTTCAGAAAATAAATATAATATACTGAAAGGAAAAAAAAGCATTAGAACTAAAAATTGGAAAATTTCTTGACTGTCCCGAAAATTATGAAAATTGGTCAGATTTGTATTTTTGGTTACTTTGCACTAAAATCGCTGGTCAAAACACAACCTTGAAATGTATGGCGTCACGTATGGGAAGTGATAAAAAGCCAAAAACACGAGCATGTTGATGATGATTATTTTGTGATCACATTTTGTAGTGTCATACGATGCATTAGAGTTAAAAACATTGTTTTTCTCATACATGTATTTGCAGTCAGTATAAATTTCTTGCAATCATGATATGGCTGACGGAAGTTACATTGGGTCTAGTAATTAAATTGCATAAGAGAATAATAAGGCAACAACATGTTGTTGTGCAGATTGTTTTCAACTTTTCAACCAAAGAGTATGTTTTTTGATTGTCAGAGAGGTTTCCAATAAACCATGACGGTGACGTTGGTGCGTAACAACATTACATCAAGATAGGTCTCTCCATCATGCCACCTCGGTTAAATTATTGTCAAGGCCTTATCACTGAAACCAATATTTATAGACAATCATACTAAATTTTTCCACCCTAAAATTGACAGAAACTCTCTAATTTGGTCTGCGGGTTTGGCAACTTTACGTCGATTTTACTCGCACACGCGTATGTACGCGTCGTTAGCGTAATGTTTTAGCATGTTCACGTTGAGAAAATCTAGCTAGTGTCGATACTTTCTTACAAACATTCACGACTACCAAACCAGGTGGATTCTGAACATTCTATCCTTAATCGAAAATTCATGAGATTCGTTGTCCTGGGGGATTTGTTGACTTTGGAATAATACATTTGAAATTAAAACTACCATCGGATGGGTTGAATTATAATCCTATAAAAAAGATAAAGAACTCAATGCACAGGAAAAGCAAGTCTGTTAATGATGCGCAAGGGAGATTATGAGGTTTTTATTTTCAATAACTCAGAAATTATCAGTCAAAGTCACACAATATTTTGGTAACTTGTTGATTGATTAAAGATGAATTAAAATGTATGATAACAATTAATACTGGAAAACAAATTCGAAATTAATAGTTTTTATTCAATTCAAAAGTTTAATATGCGTTTTTTACCCCATTCAGTATACCATAAAAGTTAATGGAACATAAAGGCGTAGTGTAGACCTAGTCTTTCTTGCACGTATCTATTGCTGGCGTATTTCGGGGAGAAGTTAGCGTTTGTTCTCACGACTCCAGCACTAGTATATTTGCCACAGCTCCGAGTAAACTTAATGTTATTGTAAATGTCCTTAGCCCCAAGGAATGGAAACGGAAATTTTTTAAATGCATTTTTCAGAATACTACGTGCCGTGGAGGTGTTCAAAGGTTTGGTGTTTTTGGGATTGCTTGCAAAGATTAAGTTGAAGCCGTTGTGGCGAAAGACATGAGCACCATTACATACTCATACCCAGTGGTTTTTATCGCCCGAGATGTCATTATAGACTGCTACAAACCAATTGCGCCAGTAGAATTTCGTTGTAAGTTTATCATACACTTTTTTGGCTACATCTGATTTGGAAGCACCTCTGTTATTTGTCAGAATCGTTTTGGCGTCGTTGGTGGCTACATCCTTGTAGTTTTTCTTAAGATCACTATCAACTTTTTTCATGGCCTTTCCCATTTCTTTGATTTGATTGGTCCATTTTTGTTCGTGGCCTTTGAGAGAGTTGGGAAATTTGATTTTATAGTACGCCATTTCCATCTGACTTCCCATAAGAATAAGTTTGGTCAGCCCCAACATGAATGCTTGCATATCGCGCCGGTCGTTTTGGTTAGCCCTCACTGCTTCCGTTAGTACATTGCTGGAAAATGTGGAACCACTGGATACAATGTGACTGTATAACATTTGGGCACTGTTCTCGTAAACACATTCATAAATGGTAGTGAAAGTATCCCGAAAGGTCGTAAAATCCTTACTGCTGACGTTGTAGAACTTTTCCAATTCCAGTTTCATAGCCTTTATTTTCTTTTCAAAGGTGAAAAATTGGACTTGGGCACGGTTCCAGTCCATTCTGCGAGCGATTTCATCTAATTTTTGATCGACTTTGTCGACTCGATTTTCAATTCTTGATAACATTTCACGCATGAATTTCAGTTCTGCGGACTCCTGTTGAAAACCAGCTATGGCGGCGATGATTCCAATCGCAGGACCAACCATACCAAGATAGGGACCAACTTTGGTGGCCAGCTTCCCCATGGTGGATGCAAAGTCCTTATCGCCGATTGCTTTTGCCAACTCGGTGCCAGCGGAGATACCATTATCAACGATGTCATTTCCTGTCTGTGCAAATATTACTGAAGTTACCACCACAGCAATGAGCGTCCAAAACAGCAAGTTCATCTACAAAACAGGAATAGAAAATCAGTGCTACATAAAGCTACACGTAAAATGTAACAAACATGTTCGCCAGTGGTAAAGTGGTAAAAATAAATCAACGACGACGAAAATGAAATCGACTCAGGACATATTATACAACTATTGCATGATTGTTAGGGAGACATGAAGATTTCTTCGCCCGAGGGCAACGCCTGAGGGGAATATGTTTTTTCATGGGCGAAAAGATCTTTAATCTCCCGAACATTCATGCAATAATTTTTTTATTATACCAAATCAAGCACAATGCAGGAAATTTGAAGAAAATACAATAAATAAGGCAATTTTATAGAGTAAACATTTGATGAGAACAATGTGTAACAGGCGTAAGTAAAACCACTAAAATATAGCGCTTCATAAAAATCCTTCGTGACAATTCAGTCTGATTTACATAGTAGTAACTTTCATTCTCCACTCATGGAAACTCTTTTCTAAATATTTATATTTTACAATTTTATATCGACATAATTAATGAACAAACTCAGTAGTAATTATTATATTCGCCGCGTTGTGACTTCACAATCGTGGAACACGCGTGAAAATATTCGACACACCTCGGCTGATTACATCTAGAAGTATACGTAGTCAGCCGAGGTGATCCGAATGCGTGAAACACGACGTTTTGTTACAGGTCGAACACGACGGTCACGTGACTGCCGCGGCCAATCAGATTCTTTTTTTACATGTGATTATTTATACATGTATGAGGTATGATAATATATTAAGTGATAAGAACAAAACTTTATAGAGGATAAATTTGAGTGTTACTGAGAAATTTTTCTCCTAGTTGAATTCTGTTTTGGGGGAAATTGTAAGTGTCCAATCAAACTCACGAGCAGTCGTGCACGCTACCATCATTAAAGTAAAATGATTCGAGAAAATATTCCCCAGCCGTTTGGATAAATGGGATATTAAATCTTCTTAATGTTTTTACTTCGGTGCTTTCCATAAATTTTCCTATCTAAATTTAAGAAACTATTTTTTCATGCACAATTTTAAGCGCTTTAGCACTCACTAAAAATACATTTACCGAGGAATGTTCAATTAATGCGACGTCCTTTGCAAATATTCGCAAGTTATTTCGTGTCTTTGGCTTTCCCAGACCTTATGTTTTTAATTTTGTAAAATTTATGCATTTTAATTGCGTTCTTTTGAATAAAAATGCTATTTGTAACGAAGGCAACAATCCTACAGCATATCCTTTTGCTGAAGTTGTTTTTTTAGTAAATAATTAATTAATTAATTGTATATTGTTTAACGTCCCTCTCGAGAATTTTTCACTCATATGGAGACGCCACCACTTGCCGGTGGAGAGCTGCAAATTTTGTCCTATACTCGGCACTGAGGGCCATTGAGCAGTGAGGGGTCTTTTTCGTGCCAGCACCTACTGCGATACGGGACCTCGGTTTATACGGTCTCATCCGAAGGACCGGCCTCCACGTCCCACAGTGGGATTCGAACCCGCGACGTAAGGATTGACTCCTTAATTCGCGACTCTAGAGCAGACGCTCTAACCACTGTGCCACGCGGGCGACTTTTCAGTACTAAATAATTCAAGAATGAAGAAAACATTTATTTATGGAGGAGTAAAACAAAGGCAAAAATAATCAAAATGTTAAATATTCGCAAAGATATATTTCAGAATACATATTTCACCATTGTCGCTTTTCCACTTGAACATGCCAGACTGTATGTTTATCAAATAGAATTAACACTGTGACCGTCCTTGTGAATACTTTTAAATTCATTTCCCCCAACTTCTTGAATAGAACACTTTGATGCTTTTCTTTTCAGTATAAGCTTCAAATAATAATCTTTTTAGAATGTAAAAATTGAACACCTACCTTGTTTCTTACAATGATTGTTCTGTCGTCTGCTTCCTTTTCTTGGCGCTTAATGGAATCTTCTGTTCTTGGTACTTTATACAGTGTCCCAGAAAAGAACGAAGTCCTCGTCTTTTCGAGTAAGACTCACTTCGACAAGTTTACTTACTGTCAAATTGAAAGAAACCCACCCTTTTTGGCTTAAATATACAAGGGAAGTGGGTGGAGCTCGGACAATTTTACTGTGAGTTGAGGTTCCAAGAAAGGGGAAGGCAGCTCTTGGTTGGCAGGTGTTGCGATTCATGCTCTATTTCATATGACTTTACTCTTCGGAAATTTTAAGTACATATGAAAAATAAGCCAATCAAAATATATGGGATTTCTTAATTATTATATCTATATGTACATTTGTATATATTCATATTTTTGAAGCATAAACTACAAAAATATGCTCCTTGAATTAGTAACATTTTTGTGTTTGTTTAGAACGCTTGATACGCCCATTTCTTCAGTGAGGAGAAAGCTGCACCTTGCTTCATTCGAATACTGATAGAACAGCGAATTTGATACATGCAACAGCCAATCAAATTGGCAGTTGACATAAACAGCTAGTTAACGCATGTTCGATTGATATATGTGTTGTGATCACTTCTATAATCATGGTTAGCTCCTAATTATGTAAAAATGAACAAAATAACCAAGTAAAATAATTGTTTTATTTACAACGTAAGCAAAAATTCTTACAACTATTGGCGATCGATTTAACCTGTGTTCATAGAGAATATACCAATAGAAACTAGCCTTTGTTTACATATTTTATGTATGGCATGCCAAATTCACAAAAATGAGCTAAACATAGTTTCACAATCAATAAACTAGGTTTATCGTTTGTAAACTATAGTTTACGGACTGTAAATTATAGTTAACAACGTTAATCTATATTTTAATCTGTAAACCACAGTTAACGCGATAATCTATGTTTCACAACCATAAACTATACTTAACACCGAAAACAATCATTTGCGATTGAAAAACATAGATTATTTGATAAATACAGTTTCACGACTTATATACTATGGTTTACAAACTCTTAACTATAGTATACGATCTGAAAAATATAGTTTCACGATTTGTGAAACTATAATTAACAACTTTTACCTATAGTTTATGATTGTTAATTATAGTTTACATACTTGAATCTATCTTTATCAACAAAATCTATTGTTAACGCTTTCTTACAGACAGATAAACTTAGATTACCATTCGTAAACTATAGTTTACAACCGTAAATATAGTTTTACAGATAAAACACTATAGTTAACAAATTGTTAACTATAGTTAACGGTTTGTAAACTATAATAGTTTACTGTCGATAAACCTAGTTTATCAACTGTGAAACTATGTTTAGCTCATTTTTGTGAATTTGGCGTGCCATATTCATGTTTTTCTTTGTCAGCTGCACAGTCTCTTACGTTTTTCCTCATTTTTTCCGGTAGAACTTAAGTTTAATCTTCATGATATAGGCTAAAACTATATTTTGTCATTAAATTCTTCTCACAATGAAAGTGTAAATTTGTTGGAAAATATCAAAACATTGCAATCAAGCCACGAACAGCCGTAAAATTTCTCGATCGGCAGCTGTCGCCAGTGTCTCCGTGTTGACATCATGAATATGCCTTTAGTTACCGAAATATGAGATTGAATGTTTTAATCAAATTGATTGATTGCAAATCAGCTGGCTCGGTTAAGTGCCTCCATCCATGGGATCCATCCATTCATTTCACTTGTTTTAGGCGACCGAAAATCCTCAAATTTTTTTTTATTATCAATCTTCAGGATTGATAATCAATGTTCACAAATAAAAATATTCCCAGACAACAATCTGTTCACTATTAATGGACGTGTTTTATTGACGATCGACGAGAAAGGCTTTAAGGATAGATAATACAAACAAAATAAATGGATGCCTGGATTGGTATATAATGTTGACCTAATTTCATTAAAAATGAAGCAAATAATATAATTGTAGAATATAAAGAAATTGTAGACCTTCTATGATGTTCAAAAGTCTGCCTCTCTGAAACCATCCTTATTAATCTATACAATTATATTTCATTTCAAAATCCATTTTCGTGAAAATTCGACCAAAAATTTAAAAACTATGCAGTGAAACCTGTTCATTTTATTCATTTAAGCATTTAAGCATGACTCAAGTCGTTATTTTCAATTTTTTGGACAAAAATTTGTTTGTATTATCCGTCCCTAACGTTTCATTTATACAAAAACAATGTGAATCATTATGATCATTGCATACAGTCTCTAATAATGAATATCATATAATATTTATTTATCATGAATAAATCATAAAATTTATAGCGAAATAACAATAGGAGGTCTACTCTTTACTTGAATTGTTAAATAAACATCAACAAGATGTGTTTGTCATAGCAACACAGCTAAGATTAAACTTTTCTTTAATGCAAATTTAATATATTCAATGGTACCAAAAGTTGGGTATTCTCATGAAAATACAATTGTGAAATATGAAAGTAGGCTACGGTTAAAGTTTTTTCATAAGAACGGAAATATTTTCTTCAAGTCAAAGTCATTGGTATCCAATAAAAGGTCTTGCCATAAAAAATACATATATAAAGTATGGAAGCCTTAGCCCTAACTGTTCAAAAGTTATGTCCAAGGTTAAAAACTTTAAAAAGTAGATCAAACTCCAAAATCAAGGTCAAAGGTCCTGCTTTCAAATGAAAGGTCTTGTCACAAGGATTGAATATGTAAAGTATGGAGGAACTAACCCTAACCCTTTAAAAGTTATGGTTAAGGTTTACTTTTCAAAAGTAGGTCAAACTCCAAGGTCAAAGGTTTAAAGGTCTTGGTATCCAATGAAGGGTCTACTCACAAGGATTACATAAGTGAAGTGTGAGATCACTAGCCCGTTCAAATTTATGGCCAAGATTAAAGATTTTTCATAAGTTCAAAAATCTCCAAGGTCAAAAGCTCAAGATCATTTGTATACATATATTAAGTATAGAAGCCCTAGCCCTAATCGTTCAAAAGTTGCCAAGCTCAGAATTTTTTCACAAGTACGGAAATCTACAAGTTCAAGGTCAAAAAGTCAAGGTCGTTGGTATC